AACATTAGGTGCAAGTTTTTTTTCATTTTTCCACTTCCTTTTCAAGGTCTCTAGGTCAAATTTTAGTCTTCTTTTCATCTTATATATAGATTGTGTACATCTGAGTTATTTACAGATTTGAAAGGATACGAAAGCATTATTGAGAAATTTGAAACACAGTCCTCCTCGAAACATATTATCTATCGAAACGTTTTAGCTTGAATCTTATTTCTCTTGTCGAAAGTCACTCCAACTCTTCCAATTTTCTCTATCACTTAAAAAGCTGTTGGATGATGCTCATTCATAATCACTTATAAATTGGGAATGAGAGTGGTCAATATTTGCTGTAATATAAATCGTACTCCCCTGGGGACATGCCGCCTTGAAGTAGCCACTGTCCGTGCGCGGGGGGGAGGCTTGGTGTGCTTCAGTGAGGTGGAGGGCTAAGCCGCCGTAGCTGTGACAATTTCCTGCGCATGACTACTGTAGGGTCACCCATGCGCGGACAGGCCAAAAACTGAAGGCCAGCACTAAGTGTGTCCTAACCACGTCTATCCCTCCCAAATCTAATCGTACATCTTCTTCCTATCTTTTGTCCCTTACCCCCATAACCGATTCTGTTCATATCGTTTATGGTTCTTCATCTACCAGTGTGACATCTTTAAGCTTTCTTGTGCCTCAATAGCTTTCATCGTATTCTAATCGCCTCCTGGTCAACTCTTATTTTTTTATCTACCCCGACGCTATTAGGTTTCGAGGGCTAGGGAGTCTTTCCTCATCTTCCTTCTTATTTCTTTTAGAGTGTAGTAGAAGGGCGGGTCAGGCACGCCAGAGCATCCCAAGTATTGATATGATCAACACGGAGAAAAGTGGATTCACTAACCTTGGGAATTAATTCATTCCTAAAAGAGCTGGCATTCAGGGGTAGGATGACTCTTAAGGCTATGTTTGAAGCAATCAGCCTAAGGGATGGGAACCCCTAAAATAAAAGCTCCGGTCCTCCTAGTTTGGGGTGTGTGCTGTAGTGCCATCATCCTGGCCACACGGTAAAATCTCACCGGCTAAAAATCTCAAGTTATAGGAATGCGCCCGGATATTCAAAAAGGGAAACGAACATCAGGAAAGAAAATGGACTCTGAATATTGGTATAATGAACTGTACAAAGTATATCAAAATAAGCACGACAAGAAGTAATCCAGAAAATGATGAGAAGAAACATAGAATGATTGGCCGTCTGTCTGAAACAAAAAAGAAAAGGCAAGGAAGGCGAAACACTGAACAACTTTGGTGCACTTTACAGTAGCGTAAACAAAACATGAAAAATGCCAAAGCCGAATTTCTATGTTATTGGTGAAAGATTCGTAAAGGTATAATAAGTTGGAGTAATATTAAACGAACGTCTTATGTAAAGTAGTGTAAAAATCAGAAGAAAATACATAAGTGTCATAGAAATATATAATTTGAATGATGATGCCCCAATGGCTAAGAAAGATGATTTTTGAAATGACAGTCAGAAGAAACCCTTCGACGGTATACAAAGTCCCATAAAAAATATTTGCAGGCAGATTTTGAACGGCAGAGTTTGAAGAGACAAGAACAATATTGTGGGGCACAGGGTGAGGAAACTTGCAAATGACAATGGGAAAAGAGACTTGATTAATATTTGGTGAAGAGTATGGAAAATGAAAATTAATTAACACTTTCTTTCCAACATAAAGATATTATAAGTATACTGGTACCAACATACAAAAACTAAATCTGATAATAGACCATCTGTGTAACTAAACAAAAAACTTCATTCAAAAGTCCATAGATGTTAAGAGTGAAACGGGGAGACCAAGTAGTGATCATTGTTTGGTAATTTTTAAAATATTCATACCTATTTACAATTGAATAGCACAGATAAAGAGAAATAGGAGGGATTTGTCCATGAAACCTACCAAATAAAAATTAAGCAGTCTTGTTCGATGAAACTACAGGCATATCTCTACAGAAAAAGCTTGAAACTAAACTATTGATTAAACAACAGGCCAATAGAAAAATAATATGAACACATAAAAGAGGTGTATTCACCAAGCCGCAAGAGGATTTAGGTACTTGTAAATTAAAACGCGACAACAGTAATTGGGTGGGACACAAGTTCTAGAAGAAAAGATTAAGACGAAAAGAGAAAACTGTATTTAAAATGGACTTAGTGACAAAAAAAACTGAAACTAATTTACAGTACAAAGCAAATAAGTAGAGAAGGTAAAACAAGAAGTATTATCAAGAAGAATTAAATTGTGGCATGGATAAATGCGATTATGAGAACCAATTCATAGGTTGGAGCACGGAGCTCAGAACCTGGAAAGTAATTAAATCTATTAAATCGAATGATTATAAACATTATCGCATTATCAAACATTGGATCAAAAATGAAAGATATTTCAAGAACTGCTCTAGAACTTCCGAACACAAAGGAAGTAAAAATTGAGCAAATGTATATCTGACAATTAAAGATTTAGAATAAGCACTTTAAGAACAATGAAATCCAATAAGCACCTGTCCGGGAAACTACTCACATTACTGGCAGAACTACAGAAATATGGTCCCTATAAAAACTGCACGAAATGCTCAAACACATGTTTTTAAGGCATGAATGGAAAAATCCTCCATCAGGATTGGCGAACGTCTTACTAAAGCACCAAATCCATAAGAAAAGGATCCTAGAGACCAATGAAAACAAACTACAGAGGAATAGGCAGTTATTGGATCTACAGGTAGACTGTATAGCAAAATTAATACGAAATAAAATAGAAGAAGAGATAAAGGAAAAATAGGAGAGGAACAATGTGGTTTTACTGCCGGCAGGTCGGTCTAGACAATATATTTACATTAAAACAACTTTAAAAAAGAGAACAAGGAGAGGTAGGAAGTTCATCTGGGTTTCATTGATCTCAGAAGGCGTTGACAATCTCGTACGGTGCGTAGGTATGGAAGAAATGTGGACTTCAAATCAGTGAAACATTAATTGAGCCACACAGAATCTATATAAGAATAACACACTCTCAGATCTAGATCTACAGCAGGCTCTCGGATCATTCCCAGTCCAGCGAAGAGGTCTTCGGTCAGGGTTTCCCCAACCACTGTTTAAAATATATTGCATCAAATTTTTACAGCAGTGGAGAAACACCTATGGCAGGAAGTAATGGAATGACGATCGGAGAGGATAAATTTACGATTATATTTTTGCCGAATGGACCAGTAGAATTGCAGAAGATGCAGACGATTTGAGTTTCATGATCCGTAAACTCAATGAACACTTTTATAAAAGCAGACTTAATATTAATATTGGACAAATCTAAACCGGCAGTTGGTAAAAATGAAATAGAAGATCTTCTTCGTGTGGAAAATGGAGAAAAATCAACAGGGTAAAACAAATATAAATACCTGGGTACTTTTTAACAATAAGGAAATAGCCATGACGAAATTTGAGAGAATAATAAGCTAATGGGGAAAACGGACACGGAAGTAATAAACTCCTGTCTTAGTGGACAAACCATCACAACACTACTAAAAGACGTCCTTACTCCTCGGCTACGTTAAGAGTGTTACAAATACGGTTCAGAAGTTGGGAATCGATAAAAGAACAAAAGGGGAGCGGCTGGCCCTTGAAATGGACTACTCGCGTAGATGTTGCAGTTATAAGCGCGTTGACAGAATCAGGAACGACGGACATAAGAAAGAAAATGCATGAAAGACAATCTATCTTGACGAGAATAGAGAAAAACAAATCTCTGGAACGTCATGTTAATATACGAAATGAACCAGACGAAAGATGGCCAAACGAGTCTAAATGGGTGCGACAGAAAGATAGAAGCAGAGAAAGACCCAGACTTGCATGCAGCAGGAGTGCAAGAGGCTTATGACGGCAAGAGAAATGCCAGATGATCTATGGTCCAATAGAGAGACATGGAGACTGAGAGCGGAGCGGAGAAACGGCGACAGCTGTAGAGCAACTCCGTACTATATATATATGTATAGCCCTGTTGGTGGTGAGGTTGACTGCAGCGCTTCCTTCAGCTTGTGTGTTGCCTTGTACAGAGTGAGAAAAAATCTCTAGTGATAGATCTAAATCTCATTATAGTTGGGTAGTTTTATTAAGAGATGCACTTCTTATTTAAAAAATGTTAAAAAAGTTTCAAATTTTAAAAAAACTCACTGCTTGCCTGGATCTCGCTGTTGATTTGGGAATACTGAAATCATCATATACCTGGATACATTTCACAGTTATCAATGCAGGACATCCAATTTTCTGTGTCTTTAATGTGGAATCTCCTTTTTTTTGAACCAAGATAATCAGACAAGAAGCAATTAGAGGTACTAAAAATAACCAACTACTGTCTATATGCAAATACTCCATACACACTGCAAATTAAGAGTTATTACCACTGCTGGACAACAGTTGGACTTAGGAATAAACAAAAAAACCTAGAACAAGGAATCCGTACTAGAAATATTATTATTTAAAGACAATTATATTATTATTATTATTATTATTATTATTATTTTAAAAGCACAAAAGAAATATAGTTTTACATTTCTCTTTTTATCCTTGGCATGTACAAAGTTTTCATGAGGTTTTTTCATCATGATCAGATAAGAAAAGATTTAATACATATCTTTTTAAAAAGATGTAGAATTGTCTCCGGTCACTTATGAAATACTTATATCATTATATTGATAAATAATTTTGGTACATGTATGCATTCAGACATACCTGTTCATCATTTTTGGAATTAATTTAATACTTCGGTCCACTGATAATAAGTAGTCTTTACAGACTACTGGGGAAGGGAGAACCAAAATATTTTATTTCAGCTTCATTATTTTGCTTATTACATTGAAACCAAATGCTTGAACCCGCAGAATTAACACAAACATTGAAATGATGTTCCGGGATAAACTTAAATTGGGTTAAATTAATATTAAAAATATTTAGCGTCACCCTGCAGACTACTTCGAACAGAATAGCCATTTACATTATCTTCCAATTCTTTAAGTAGATTTTCATAATCTTCCACATAGCCATTAATATTCTCAGCTGATTGCAAATAGTCCTTCAGTCTCCTCTGCATAACTTCCTCGAGAGAATTAGCCATATTTCTACTGCAGATGAAACAGTGGTTTGTTACTACGCGCCAAAACCATGATCATTGGATAAACCTTAAATACTCATTAAAACAAAGAGCACCAAAAAAATTAAAGGAATTCTTGTCTCACCATACAAGAATAATGCAGATAGCCGAATCTTACGCACCGTTGGAAACAACAAGCAAAACCACAAGAGATGAAAACAAACAGAAATTCGTCAGACGACACGCTCACCCACAACGGACGGAAGCGTATGGAAGCGAACATTGAAAGACCCGCTTCCGGCGGGTCGAACGTTGTTCGTAGCACGTCGACAGTGACGTCGATGCCAGACTTGGCTGGCCAATAGAAAACACCGAGCCGCGACGCCACCGTTAGGTTAGATTGACGGTGGGGGAGCTGAGTCCTCCGCGCTGTGTAAGTAAGGTTTCCCCTTCAAAAATAGCCCCATGTAAACGACAATTAGCCCCTTTACTGAACAGAATTTTTAAACAATCATTAGAATAAGGGAAGTTGCCCTCTGCATGGAAAAAACTGTCATCACACCAGTTTTCAAGAAAGGAGAGAAAAAGTTACGAAAAAACTACAGACCAATAAGTTTGACGAGCACAGTGAGTAAAGTCATGGAAAAGAATATTGTTCGACGGCTTTAAGATCATACATTTAAAAATGATGTTATCCCTACACAACAACAACAACAACAACAACAACACGGTTTCATCCCAGGAAGATCCAAATCCACAAATTTACATCAGTCGCTAGATGTATGGACCAAAGAATTGGATCAGAAACAACGAGATGACGTAATTTCTATAGATTATGCTAAAGCTTTCGATAAAGTACCAGATAAGCGTCTCATTCACAAACTCTCATCTTTGTGTATACGAAGTAAACTATTGAGGTGGATTCAGGAATATTTATCGGACAGAACATTTCAGGTGGCGATTGGAAACACTGTAGATACCTCGTGCCGTAACAAGACGTGTCCCAAACGTTCAGCTCTAGGCCCGATTCTTTTCATTCTATACACTTGTGACCTAAGTGATGATCTGTTCTTGGTACAGCTATGCGGACGACACCTACCTTTTCTCAAATCCACTAAAAACTATCAGATGATACAAAATGGCCTCTACAAAGTGGTGAGATGATCGGAATCTTGGTTGCTGCCTTTAAACTCCAATAAATGTTCGGTCCTCCATCTAGGAAAAAAAAATTACCCGACTCTTAATTACAGCATTGAAAGTCGATTCCTCAATTCTACGATAGAACAAGATGACCTCGTTATTCTTATCACTCGAAATTTGAAATGGGATAGTCAATATATATATATATA